GGTCACTAAAAACAACCTAAAAATACTCAGTATTAGCTAACACATACCATACATAGATTAGCAAAAATACAGATGGAATTACTATAGACATACTGCCTGCCTCTGCAAACAAGGAAGCTGGTAGAATCAGGGCCCCCCTCCTCCCCTCTGAGCTTGGAGATCATTTGAAAGCTCCAGAGCAATTCATAGGGAATTACAGTCACAAATTTCCAGAGGCAGAGGAAAGACCATAAGGGCATGTAACTATTCTCTTCCTGCCACAGAACCTCAAAGAGAAACACAGGAAACCTAAATCAGAAAGATGAGGCCAAACCACCTTCAGATCCATCTAGCCTCTGTATTGGCCCCAGGCAAATCAAACTTGTTGATTCATGGGAAGGGAACGATGGGTTCCCCTAGGTGCTCAGAGTTTCCACATCCACTCCCAATGCTCTGTGGAGTTCAGGAACCTTGTGAGGTTCCCTCTCTGCCTTTCCCCATTATGCTGGAAAGCTATCAAGCTTCAAAAATCAGGACTTAGAAGGAGAAAAAGAAAATGGACTACCTCAAAGTTCCCATCCTGTGAAAGCTAAAAAATGCTGGAACCGCACCAAGTCACCCACATCACTTGAGCATGTATGGGCAAAGGGTTTAGATGTGGTCCATCACCAACAGTTTTTATAACATGCATTCTATTTAATGCATAAAAACTCCTCAGTCCCTTGCTAAAACATAATTTTATGATGTCCTTCCCCATGTCAATGCCTTGCCAATAATTGTTTCATGGATTTTTCAAAAATTACCTATACCTCACTTTCCCCCTCAACTTTCCTTCCCTACCAGAATCTCAGGTCTCCACAAGAATTGTGTGTTCTCTAAAATCAGAAAAATTGCTTCAACAGTTTTTCCAATGATTGTCCAACCTGCCTCTCAGTCTCATGGAAACTCCTTGCAAAGATGTTGCTTTTCCCTTGTCTGGCACAAACTCCTTCACAGATGGACCATCCAATGTCTAAGAATAACTCTTATAACTATCAATAGAGACAAAGAGATTCAGTTGCACTGTTCCCATGGGATTCCTTTGAGTTTGGACACATCTGTTAAGATGCATACATCAGAGCTTGAATGAAGTTTTTGTCTGATTGTATCTCTGAGAACTCATGAAAGTTTCTGCCAAAATGATCTTATCTCTTGGCACTTGCAAAACATATATAGTTATAGATGCTTTCTGAAGGGCTCCTGAAGTAAGTGGTCTATACAGACCAAATCAGTTTAAATACAGCCAAGTCCTGATGACTTCCTTCCCTCTCAGCAAAATCTTTAGAAGCTTTACCTGAGGCACTTCAAACTAGGACCCTACCAACTTTGTCCATTCTCTATCTATAAGAAAGAAAGTATGAGGAAAACTGCAAATAGCACCAAATCTCCTATGCTTTCCTTTGCTTCCTTGTAACCTTTCCAGAACCTGTGCCTCCATGCTTGTCCTTGTAGCTTTTTTGCACAAACACCTTTTGTCTGGGTAAGCAGCTACATCTGCTTGTGACAGCTGAGTAGCTAGAGGTACAATTCATTTGGAGCTCTATCAGATCACTCTATGACTTAATTCCAAATTAATTCAAAGTGGTACTTTTTATCCGCCAAGTCCTACATGAAAACAGCTACCTCAGGAAGTACCTCTTCCTCTAACTTGTTTCTCCAATGGCATTGTGTGAGTTAGCATTTCCCAAGACTGAAAGAGAGAACTGGACACAATGCCTCCTAGGTTCTGGATTTTGCTTCAGGTATTCATCTGTCCTGGAAATACATCATAATATTCAAATGCAGAAATCTAGGACCCAAGGGTCCTTCTGACCCTACAACGGTCAGAAGTTAACACAATTTCATTGTGAATAAGCAGCATCAGAAATAGCATGTAGAATGTACTACACAACAGAATTAAGCCCCAAATGAAGTTGTGCATCACATATGACTTTACTCGGATTTTTCTGCTAAGTACTCGATTCAGTAAGACTGGCATTCAAACTATTGCTTAGGCTTTCTTCACCTCTGCCTTTTACAGCTGAGGAGCAGATGGCTATCATAGAGTTTTTATTTCCTATGCTTGGAAAAACTATTTTGATCTGAATCATTCCAAAAGCACCCTGATTTTTTAGAGTAGATTGGCTTCTGAATATTTCTCATAATAAATATGTGGTGTTGTTTTCTGCCAAGCACTAGTGACTGTGCATGCAAAATGGTCAGTGAAGATTTCAAACTGATTTGAATAGGTGGCCCATAAAATCCAAGTCTTTTTTTCCAGATACATGAATAAGGGCTTATGGAACCATCTGTACATCAGTGCATTTTTCCAAGAATTGATATACCCTGCCATGCTGACTCTTTCTGGGTGACTCTGATATTTTCAACAAAAATTCCTCTCAAATTTCCTGTCTAATCCTAGTTTTTAAGTATTTTTAAATTATTTACCATCCGCTAGAAAACTCCCCACCAGAATGAAAATGAAAATGTAAATATTTTATTTCTTTGAAAATGAAATATAATCTGCCCAGTTGTGGGGGTAGAGGCAGTATGGTGGTCTGGGCAAGGGAGGAGAAGCAATGTTGTAACGTCTAGAAGGTAGAGAGAAGGACAGGAAGTGCTGCTGGCCCAAAGAAGTAAAGCATCACCACAGGTCCAAAAGTTGAGAGGAAAAAAGATGTGGCAATGTAGCTCTGAGAGGAGGGGAAGAGAAGGACAAAGGGAGGGATTTTAGGGTGAGGGGAAAGCATCAGTCTAAAAGGTAGGGGAGGCAAGAGGTAAGAAAGGGTTTGTAATGATAGGGAAGCCATTTTTCAAATGTTGGGAGCCACAAATATTAAGCTCTTGGGTTAATTAGTGTATCACAGCAAGAATGATGGAGGCAATATTAAAAAAAATAACACATAACACAGGAGATAGCTATAGTAAATATGCAGTAATTATTCATGATGCCTTGTTTTTAGTTCATGTGAGAAACTGGCATTGCTATTTTGCAATGGCATGCCAAACACTAATTATATGCATACCACCCCGAACAAATACAGCCTGATAAAGGTTATAATCCATCATGAACAATGGAAGTTTCTCCATTGGTTTCAAAGCACATGGAATCAACTAGCAGAGATCAGCACTACAAGATGTCTTAGCATTTCTTGAATTTCTGCAGAACTCTAACTGTATTTTGGGAACTAAATTTCAACAATTCCTGAGATAGGACAAAATTAATGCGGAAATTATTATTAAACTTCTTTTCTGAAAAGAACAACTTCAGTGTGAAAAGAGCATCTAACCTTGGCTTGCAGCTTATTCATATCGGTATTGTGAATTTAGTAGGAATGGAAGGTGATTTGGGGACATTAAAAGCTTTGGGGTCTAAAAGACTCTGTTTGTCCACAGAACAGGTAGAGCATGAAGAGCAGCAGGCTCCACCTCCCTCTACTGCTCTCTGCCAATATTCCTCACCCCTGAACTTGGCCACCTCAGAAATCAAAAGCAGGAGTTCATTCTCCAAGTTCCCTACAACCCCTGCTGGCCTCTGTCCTAAGGTTGCTTTCATGGGTTTCCATTTGTACTGTCAAAAAACATCAGTGTGAGGTTTCAAATCCCATTTACTAATGAACTCTTTCATCTTTGTGAATGGGATAAAGGGATTCTTTGTTTGAAAATAAGGATTATTTTTTCCTGTTGTTCTGCTCATTTTTTTGCATCTTTTCACAAGCTTTTTGTTTTCAGGAAACATTACAAGACAAAACTGTACCCCAGTTTTAACAAAGACCCTGACATCTCCAATTTGGAGAGAATTCTTTTATATACTAAATTGCATGCTGCCTGCTGCTCAATTGTTTCACATCTCTTTCTTCTCCCCAAATCACCAGGTGAGATTTGGGAAAGTCTCCCCAATGTTTACCAGCTCTATTAAAATCAAGATCTCTAGAAGAAGCTCATAATGAATAAAGTCAGAAGGCAACAGGAATGAATTGCAGCTAAAGTGATTTTGATAGCGATGATCCCTATAACCCGTCTGCTTCCAAGCTTGGCCCCAAGGCAGGATTTTTAAATTAAAAAAAGAAAAGGATATACATACTTTTTAATCTGATTTTTTACTGTCATGCCCTGATTTTTTTTTATAGTCCTTTGCAAAACCTGGTTGGCTTCTGAGCTCTTGAAACCTGGTGTCATCATCTTTCTTTCTCCTTTTTTCCTCCTTGTAAATTTTACAACATCCTAAAACCACCACAGAAAAGGTAAACTATATATTCTAAAACTAGTGGGTGATGAGATTCACATAACCCTGCAAATTCTTGCACAAGAGCCTTCCAGCCTGTGGAATGACAGTTTTGAAGAGCCAACAGGGTAAGTTCTGACTTTCCAAAATCCAGTTTTAATCATTCTCTCCTTTATTTTTGTATTTTTTGGCAAAATGGAAAAGAACATTTTTAAAAGGCCAATTAACCCATGCTGAGTAATCTGAAAGTGAATGCACTCAAAGCAAGGGCCTTAACCTGGTACAACCACACAGGTCTACAAAGATTTTCCAGACTCTCATAGACTGATCCTCTCCACAAAAATCTCCTCTTTCTTCATGGGAACCCCTTACAATCCTGGGTGTCAGAGCCAGACACTTGTTTTCTCCCACTGCAATATAGCAGAGGCTGAAAACCCCCAGTCAGTAGATATGCTTGGGTAATGAGAAACATGTGACTACCTGGAGAGGGGTAACTACAGCTCCAGTTGGAAAGAGACATGCTTGAGAGCTCTTCCATTTTTAACTCATAAGAAGCAGCAGCCTGGCCCAACAACACGCTCTCAGCTTCATCTGGCTGATTGCATTACCATGACCTTAACGCAAAATGCTCTGTTTCAGTGGCAATTCGCAAACAAGGCAAAACTAAGTCCCACTCGTGCCATTATGGAAAGAGCATCCAACTGGAAAACCTGGTCTGCAGTAAGGAGCGTGTTTTCAAGAACCCCGGCGCAACCCAGCAGCCTGATGGTGTACTCACAATCAGATGACCCTGTGTGTGTGTGCAGGTTTGTTGGTGAATGTGGTGAGTGGATGAGGGCCGGGCTCAGAGACGGAACAGCTTCAAAGTTCAGGCAGGGAAGGCCCGGCTTGGCGCTGCATGCACCCGTCTGAGTAATCTCATTCTCCTCAGACGCCTTCTGGTTTTCAGCTGTCTTGGGTTTCTTCCTGAAAATAAACAAAGAGACCTTTGAAGGGACTGACTGCATATTTGGGAAAAGGCATTTTTAGAATCTGTTAAAGATAACTTTCTTTCCCCCCCCACACCCCCCTCTCTCCTCTCTTTTCCCTTACAGGGAAGGAGCCAGAGAAGACTTTCCTCCATGCTTCTTGTTTGGAAACAAGCTGCTCCTTGTTTTGACTCTGATGCAATGGCCCTGAGACTGTTACAGCAAATAGGCCAAGCACGAATCTCCTCATTCTGCCCCTACTGATGACATATAAAATGAAACTTGTCCCAGTGGTTTAGACAGTCAGAGCTCCGTTTGACAAATACTAACCAAGGCTGTAGCATTCTGAATAGAGAGAGTTATACAGAAATGTAATAGAATTGTCTGAAAAGCAAACAAATGTGCAAGTTTTTAGTTCAAAACAAATCAGTGCAGAGGCTCATTTTGTAGGGAAAAGCACTGAAGCAATTTTGAGATGCAGAGGTCATCTAAGTAAAGCATGAGGATCTGGAGCCTGAAACAACAGGCTATAAGCACAGTGCATGTGAGCTCCCAATGCCTCCCTCCATCCAAAACCTCTGAAAATTTTGTAAACGTGAGGAATTAAGCCTCAGAGGAACACTAAGCAGGTAGTTAATTACCACCTTTGTTTTACAGACAGAGAAACTGAGGCACAAAGAGAAGCGGTGGCTTCGAATCACGCAGCAAGCACGCTGCACAGGGAGGCAAGTGCCCACATCTCGCTATTCCCTCTCCGTTTTACAGCTGACGGCTCTCCCTCCTCTGCTCCTGGAGGTGGATAAGCCATCCTGCCAGCTCAGGACACAGCTTCCAGCCGGGAACACCACTGCCCTCGCTCAGCACATGGCCATGGGGCTTCAGGAAACATCCAGCAGCTCCTGCGGGGTGGCAGAGAGGGCCACAGCCATGCTTGTGAGAGAGCAGCAGGAGCTGGGGAGGCCAAAGCCCTCCAAATAAAACACTGTTACCTCATGCCCAAGGCACAAGCAGTGGTGGGTCACCCTGGGAACAGGCCCTTCTCGAGGCAGCACCTCACGCTGCCAAGCGGCCATGGAGCGAAGGTCGTCTCAGAGCATGGAGGTGCTGCTGGAGCCAAGGCGGCCCTGCCTTGCCTCCTCCATGGTCCTGGCTCCCTGTCTGCTGGCAAAGCTCCCCTCCACAGGGACAGACTCTCCTCCTGAAAGGCCAAGGCGGGAGCCCTTTCTCCCCACAGGCATCTTCTCTCCCACATCCCACCCAGGAGGGCACGTGGCTGACACACCAAAACATAGTTTCTGAGGGCACGACCGGCCTCTCGATTTTTAAACAACAACAAAAAGCCCCATTCCCGAGGGGGGACACAAGGAGGAGCCGAGTCGGCCGCCCACCTGGCAGGGGAGAGCCCAGGCCTAGGCCCCGGCCGGTTACATAAAGGCATTACATAAGGGGGGCACGCCCGGCCGGGGGCAGGGCCGGC